ACCTTTAACTCCATTAATAAAGGGTATACATAAATAAATATAATATAGAAAAAAAATAATTGGTATATTTTTTTTACGTATTTTATAATACTTATTGGTTCAACATTAAAATATGTAACTTCTAGTCTTTTTTTAATTCAAAATTTTAAAAATAATTTTTTAATAAATGTATCGTAGTATTATATTAAATCAAAAAGTATATTAATCATTATTCTAAAATATATATATATCAACCTCACCTACAAAGGTAAAAAAATATCATAAAATTACGTCATTTTAATAAATATTTATTAAAAAATTAAAGCATCATAATTTGTAAAGCATGAATAAGATTGTTTTTCTATGATACTAATTTTGATCCCTTAACTTTAATATTTTGTATAATTTTTATTTCTCAACTTTTTTATGTATTTTTTTTTGTCCTTCAACTATAAAAAATATACTTTTTTAGTCATTTTGTCAATTAAAATCCATTAAGTATGTTCATATATATACATTTTTAGTTTCTAAACTTTTAAGTTGAGTAACAAAAAACTTTTAAATTGAGTAACGAAAAATGTGCATAAATTATAAATTGAAAAATTAAAAATGTGCATACTTAAATAAACTTAATAGATTAACTGATGAAGAATTTAACAAGTCTATTTTTTCATTGTTAAGGAATTAAATATATATATATATATGTATATAAAAAAGTTAAGGTACATAAGTTGTGCACAATCCTAAAATTAAAAGACCAAAATTGATATTTAACCTTATTAAAATGACATAATTTTAAGTGTCTTCTCACTTAATTTTTTTTACAGATCGTTTTTGCTGATAAATATTACATATAATATATATAGTACATTTGTAGTGTTTTACGTGAAAATAAATAAAATTTAAGGCCTTAAAGTACCTTATATTGTACGATTCTTTGAATGCCTTCCAAGATATTTATGCCTTAATGCGGTGCAGGCGGAGCAATATGGAATACTTTTAGCTACAGAGAGCGAAACCACCTGAGAAAAGATAAGATTTTGTTAATTAATTAAGGTGTCCCTTATAAATAATGAAGATTACCTTAGTCTAACGTATCTTCCTATGATTAGTATGAACATAAACGATCACTTAATTTAATAATAAACAATTTTAAGATATTAATGTTTTCAACATGCTTACGCTACTATTAATTTGTTCGACATGCAATTTTAGTTTTTCTTTTTGTAAGTCAAAAATTTTATTACCATGGGTACATGGAGTCTTCAAATCCATATACATTCGTTCACCTGACACCACTTACATTACTTATCTCATCGCCCTTGCTACAATAATTGTCAGCCTTCCCAAATCCACAATCCAGTACCAGCTTAGATAGAAAAATTACCTCATTCTGAGAGGAAGTCTTGGTTAGATTTCCAGAAATCCAACGACAGCTGAGGTTGTACCTTTGCCCTTATCCAATAAAATGATCTATATTTAATCAGCTCTAGCATTTCCTCTTCACTGTCTTGTACGTACATGCAATTTTAGTTGAATTTATTGATAAACAAGAATAAGTGTATATATTATTTTTTAAATCAAATATAAGATTTAAATTTTGTGTCTAACACTTAAAAAAAATTAATTTTTTTAAATGAATCAAGGTGATCATATAAAAAACATACCTTTAAAATCTACTAGTGTGTAATAGGCATACATAGTCCCACGTATATAAGCCACTTCTCAATGAAGGTTTTCTAGGCCAAAAAGTTATGGACAAGTTGGCAATAGGAAGAAAACTTGCATGACAAAAACAGAATTAATGAGAATTTTCTTTGAAGTCTTGTTCTTTAAATTGATGAGTTCTTTGACATGAGAGTTTATGATAAATAGATTAGAATTCGAAAATCATTAATGTACTCCCTCTATTCCACTTTAATAAATGTTCTGCGGGATTTTTCTTGTTTCATTTTAGTTGTCATTTTTACTATTTAATACAGCATTAATTAATTATCATTTTATTGAGATTTTTTAACTTACAAACAAGATTAAAGATATAATTATTATCTTCTTTATA